TGGGAGCACTTCCAACACTTATAGTTGTATTTTGCATGAGTCTAATGGTGTTACTCAAGGTTTATGGTATTGCACTAAACACTACAAAAAATACCTGAGAAGCAAGAGACACCACTTTTTACTGCAACAAATAATTTACTGGAGACAAGAACTGCTCATCTGAGATGATTAGCGTCATGTCACATGGCATTTTAAATGGATACTTGCAATACTTGGGCTTACCACAATAGCAACAAGAGGTGGCTATAAAATTATTACAGTAGTAAAGTATGTACTAGTTAATTTTGTATGGTTATAATACTGCCTGTTTACATTTGCTTACATTGCTCTGGACTGCAAATGGCACCATGTATGGTTTGTGAGCATAAATTTTGATAAATTTTGACTTTTCAAAATAGATTTATATATATTCCATGGTAGTAAATGATAAAGTAGTATCTACAATTATTTTATGCATTCATCACATACTGTGGAGACAAAAGTGACACCATCTTGGATGGTAATCCATCGTGTTGACTTATGATTGACCCCAGTCTCGTGAATCCCTCCTGATTTCTACTTTATTTATTATCCTTAATGTAAGAGCATGTACTCACTAAATCTTGCCTTTAGATCAAAGTAACCTTAATGTTATTGCACAAATTATAGGCTATGATGCACACAGGATTCTTACCTCTTCTGGAGGGTGGCCTCTAACTGTTTTGCACAGATCATGTACTCCCTTTTTCGATGGTATAAAGCCCTGGGGCTGAGGGTAACAGCAAAGCTCTACCTGTCTTGCAACGGCCCAAGACCATGCTTCTGTTGGTAAGTTCTCTAAACCAATCGCCCTATACTGACAAACTGGACTTGTTTGCCTCATTCTTTGATTTCTAGGCTCCTTCTGTGTCTGCATATATGGCTCTGTCATGGAACACACATGAAACTTTTTCTTAATTTTTTTGTTACCTCTAGGCTACATAGTTTGTGAGGGTTTTTTTCCCCCAAATTGTTACAAATCTCCAAAAAATGTTTCAACATACTTATTGAAAACAATCTGTGTATTAGCAAACCCTTGCAGTTCAAACCTGTGTTGTTCAAGAGTCAATGGTACTGATAGATTTGGATTTAAAACTGTGTAATTTCATGGTTTCTCCTTTCTGGCCTTCCTTTGAACTGATTTTTAAAAAAGAATTCTTTCATGTTTTCTCCTTCTACCAGTATACTAGTTACACTATTTATGTTCTTTTATGGTTACCCTACTTATTACAATATGTATACTTAACAAAAATTAAAATTAGTCTTCATCTTCTTCCTGGATAACACAATGCTTTGTAGAACACTTTAACTCCATTTCTCTCCCTCCTTACTTTCATAAAATTGTCATAGACTATATTCTGTGTATACATATATATGTGTATGTGTATATACATATGTGTGTGTGTGTGTGTGTATGTATCTTTTGTTTTTCCCGAGACAGAGTCTTGCTCCGTGGTCCAGGCTGGAGTGCAGTGGTGTGATCTTGGCTCAATGCAACCTCCATCTCCTGGGTTCAAGCAATTCTCCTGCCTCAGCCTCCTGAGTAGCTGGGATTACAGACATGTGCCACCACGCCCGGCTAATTTTTGTATTTTTAGAAGATACAACATTTCACCATGTTGGCCAGGCTGATCTCGAACTCCTGACCTCAGGTGATCCTCTCGCCTCAGCCTCCCAAAGTGCTAGGATTACAGGCGTGAGCCACCGCACTCAGCCTATCGTGTATATTTTACTTATTACTTTTTATATGGTAAATCACCGTTTGCACTTGCCCACCTGTTTTGCCTTTTTTTCTTCCATCTTAGTTCTTCTGATATCACATTCCTTCTGCCTAAAGTACATCCTTTCTGGTTTTCTGACATCTTTAAAAATTTAATTTTAAAAAATATTCAAGGGCTACATAGTGATGTTTTGTTACATGCAATGTATAGTAATCAGATGAGGGTAATTAGCATATCCATAATCTCAAACATTTATCATTTGTTTTGGAAACATTTAATATTCCTCCTTCTAGCTATTTGAAACTATCTATTATTGCTAACTATAGTCATCCTACAGTGGTATAGAACAGGATTTCCTTTGGTAAGCTTGAGCTGCTGCTAGTGGCAAACTGTTTTAATTTTTCTGAAATTTATTTCACCGTCATTCCTAACCCATCATCCAGGTAGCAGAAATCAGTATCTTCACTTTGTTTTCATATTCTTCCATTTCACTACAATGTTTATAGGCATGTTTTAATCTTATTTAGAATGCATTGTGATTCATGGAGCTATGGATTCATGTTTATCATCAATGCTGGAAGTTTTCCAATTACTTTTTTTTTGAGACGGAGTCTCCCTTTGCTGCCTAGGCTGGAGTGCAGTGGTGCAATCTTGGCTCACTGCAACCTCCGCCTCCCGAGGTCAAGCGATTCTCCTGCCTCAGCCTCCCGAGTAGCTGGGATTACAGGGGCCTGCCACCACACCTGGCTAGTTTTTGTATTTTTAGTAGAGACAGGGTTTCACCATGTTGGCCAGGCTAGTCTCAAACTCCTGACCAGAAGTGATCCGCCTACCTTGGCCTCCCAAAGTGCTAGGATTACAGGCGCGAGCCACCGTGCCTGGCCTCCAATTACCTTTTAAAATATTGTCTCTTCTCCATCCTCTCCGTTTACTCTAGAACTCCGATCAGAAGCACATTAGACATGCTCATCCCATTCTCCATGATACCTAACTTTTCTTCCATATAGTTCTCTTCTTATCTCTTTGCTGTCTTCTCGGTGAAGCACTTTAAAGAGATAAGTACCTAGTTTATGCTTTTATTTTGCATTATTAAGTTAAAAATGCTTAACATGAACACATCTTAAACGTACAGTGACAGTTTGGATGTGTCGCTGCCCAAATCTCCTATTGAAATTAATACCCAGTGTCGTAAGTGGGGGTTCTGGTGGGAGGGGATTGGATCAAGGGGGTGAAATAATGCTTCATTTTAATTCATATTGATGTCCAATTGCTCTAGTACGATTTTTGCAAGTTAGGAAAACCAAAAAAACACACCCTAAGAATCAGTATCTAATTTAGGAAGGTATAGATCAAATAGTCTGGGCCTCTAAAACACCTAAGTTCATACTAAGGAGATTGATCATATTAGAGAACCTTGAAAGTTAAGATTCAGAAGTAATGGTTGAAGAATGTTAGGGCTGTTTATCCTTGACAATGAAAGACTCAAGGAAGAATTCTGCAGTGCATTAGAAGAGCAGGCAGGGGACCTGGAAACAGAGAATCAGGGGTCTAGTAGTAAATTGTTTGGTTGCATTTGATAAGCTCCTGAGTTAGATTAGGTTTAGAATCGTGGTCTACCCCTGGTTTTAAAATTGACCTTTTGAGTCAATTCCTAGGAAGAACAAAAGAAAATGGGTTATTTTTCCTTACTTGGGCTGAAACACTTTGACCTTTAACAAAGAATGCCCCTCCCCATATCAGCCCGTAAAATTTGTATCCGTTTCAAAGTTTAAAAATGCCATTTTCTCCATGCAACCAGATTTTGCTAAAAGAATAGTTTCAGAGAACACAGATCATGTTGACACTCCTGAAGCTCATAGACAGTATGATTAAGAGCAACTTACATAAGACAAACTAGTATCTGTTAAGTCTGATTTTCTAGGATGTTGCTAATCATTCTTTGGGAGAAAAAAACTTCGAGAGGTTCCCTACTGGCCTCAGGATATAATCTAAGGTCTATATACATTAGCTTCTAAGACAGTTCATACCGTTCTTATGTATTCAACTTTGTTTCTGATTACTTCCTAATGTTTCATTCAGAGCCAACTTCTATCCATCTTTCCTTTCCAATGAAGTTTCTAAAACATCATCCTAGCGTCAAGTGCTGATGAATAACCTAGTATAGTAAATAAAAAAACACAGGACTAAGATTCAGAGCACTCAAGTTAAAAGAGTCCAGTTGTGACTAATATTCCTCTGTATGTTATTGGATCTATGGGCTATTAAGAAATCACATGAAACCACTGTATAAACACAACACTCTATATATATAAATCTTGAATTGATTCAATACATATTAAGGCAGTCAGCTGGTCTATACAGTGTGAAAATAAACAAAAGGGAAGTCAGGCTGAGGCAGGAGAATCGCTTGAACCTGGGAGGCAGAGGTTGCAGTGACCCAGGATCAAGTCATTGCACTCCAGCATGGGCGATGAGTGAAACTCCCTATCAAAAAAAAGGGGGGGGGGGGGCAGGACATTTAATTACATTTTGCTTGCCTGAGTTTTATCAGTTGTATAGATGTTACACTAGAACCTTAAGAAATCATGAACTCACAAATTACTTCCTCTATCACGGCTTCCAATGTTCAGTAATAAACACACACACACACAACTTGCAACGCTTGTGCTCAATCTTAACCATTATTTTGCCAGTGCCTTCAGTGCAGAGTACTATTAAAGCCAACAATTTCAGATTTATGTTAATGTTGAAATACAAACGATATTTTGTCCTGGTTTCTTCACCTACAAGACTGGATAATGTTTGATGTTAACTACAATTCAGGAAAACCTAATAGACAAAATGTAAAGCAAGTAGGCACTACATAGCATTTTATCTGTGTCATCTGTATTTCGATCTAATATATGTGGATTCATTTGGTTATTCCAACAAGTTCTCACCTCTGTATTTTTCATATCAACTTTCACAAAGGCTGAAATGAAAACATGAAAAGCTTTGGATAAAAGTCAATAAACCTGTGGAAGATACGCAAGATTTCTTTCTACACTACCAGGGAGTTGGATTACTTGACCTTTTGGTTCCTTTAGACATCACTAGTCTAACAGATACAAAGTGCTCAAGATAAGGTTTGCTGACTGAATCATACGAGCCTGATACTTAACCTGAAAATGGCAATAGATTTTTGTTCCACGCATAGGATAATCCAAAAAAGTGTGACTATATTCTCAATAAAATGTTGATGTATTATAGAAAAAGTCACCATATTTTCATAAGTGTATTTTAATTTTTAAAATTTGAACAATTCAAGTAAAAGCTAGGTAACATAAATACAGAGTAAATGCACATAATTTACAGCCATGTACATAAATGCAAGATACCAAACCTCACATGAATAGTCCAAAGTTAACACTTTTGAGGTTCACTATTTAGCTATGACTGATAGGTCCTAATTGTTCACATACACGGGGGTATACATTCCAAAAGTTTATAAACACAAAAACTGAGTCAAACTAGAATTTTGTTTCTACAAGGAGTAGCATAAAAATCAGTGTGTAGGTTAATGGGAAATGTAAGCACATGATGGAGAAGAGATCTGAGTGGGCAGAAAGTTTGTACACTGTATTTTATGTATTAAAATCCCTCAAATTTAAATCATTCAGAAATACCTATATTCTTAGGAATGTTAAAGTCATTAGATATTTGAGGAGAAAAGGCTGAACTGTATTCATCAGTTCCAAAGGGGGTCCCTAGATTACTAACAGTCTGGGCAGAAGAGCATGTAAACAACAAAAGGCAGGCATGGACAATTCTTGAAGAGCAAGAAATGGATTGATTTTTAGCACTTAAATCCTTCACATCTGAATAAATATTTTTAGTGATTTAAAACCAATCTTAAAATGCTGAAATGTTTGTAATCCAGAAATAAACATTTTTACCAACCCAAATTCTGCTGGTCCTAATATAGTAATGCTGTTCCACAGATAATCTAATGATATTCTATCCTGACTTCAAAGTTACAAATCCACTGTGGGGGACCCATCTAGAAAGGATGGTTCTACAAAGTTATATAATGAGAATCAAGCCAACTTTTGGTGATAGATTTTTTTCTTGGGATTACAAGCACTGCGTGGTATCCCGAAATCACAACTGCTAATTCTTCAGATTTGAATTTTGAAATTTAAAAGTACATACAATCTAAACAATGTGGACTACCTCTACACCAGAAATAAAAGTCATGATAAACATATGAAAAAAAAGTCCAATGCTTTGAATGTTTTTGTTTTTAAACATGAGTCAATTTTTTAAAAACTTCAAGGAAATATTTCAGAGACAAACTTTATATACAACTTTTATATATAGTTTTCCTTTCTGAATTATCTCTGTCATACATAAACTATGGCAGATTGTGCTTAGGGAAAAATACAACTGAAATAAACCTCATTGCTCCTTTCTAGTTGTTGCACAAATAAACAATGTCCAAGACTCTAAGATTTCTTTTCTTTCCAGTACACACATAATACTTTCAAAAGCTGAATATAATGCACTAAAGGTCAACACAACTTTTACTTGATAAATACAAATAGAAAGAGAATATATGTTCATCCTTGAAGGACACTTGTTATGAATATGCTACAACTAAATAATAAGATGTTCCTTAGCTGCTGGTTTTCATATCATTCTTAATCATTTGTGGGGTACTGAGATCAGTAAGACTAGGGAGAGTATCTTACATTCAACACAATGAATGTTTATGGGTCTTCACAAGGCAAATGGCACTGTATTAGGCAGTAGAAATGGCACCTGAAAAGGCAAACACGATAGATTCAGACCTTCTCTACAGATTTATTACGAACCCGTTTTTGGTATGTTCCTCATAATATGTGTCAAAGCTGAAATTTACCATGAAAGGTACGAATAATTCCAAAGGTAAGAAAACTGATTTTGCCTTTGGTCTCCAAATAGATTGGAATATTTTTATTCCAATCGAGCACCTCAAAAACATCCAGTTACTGTTGACCACAAGGAAGTTAAAATGGGGGAATTTAACAGGGCACTATGTTTCATTGGTGACAGCAGAGAAAGCTTGCGATGACACGCTGCAGTATCTATAACATTGGCGGCACAACAGGGTACACAGAATACCGAAAACATTTATATTAAGGATCTCCAAAACAACATACTTAAAACCCAGAAAAATGTTATGAACACTGTTTCTGCCTAATACACGATCAATTTTTTTTTTTTTTAAATCTTAACATGGTATTCTCTCCTACTCTCTCACCACCCCCGTCCCCAAAAGGCCACAAAGTGCTTTCACAAAGAGTCATTCTTTTAGATAAAGCCATTGCACAAAATGTACAGTTCAGGTACTGAAATGAGTACCACATTGGCGTCCAATCGTGGCAGTTTTTATACACCAGAATAGCATAGGCGAAGTCTTTTAAAAGAATTACAGCAAACATCTTTATAAGGGCCATACATGTAACACATTTAAAGTATTAAAAGGTACAGCTGACTCAATAGCAAAATTTAAAAGCTACATCCTGTTAGCACATTTAACCCAAATGAACTTGAATCTTTCTATGATTTACCACTCAGGAAACTAGGACAGAATAAATTTCTTGTCAAAAGCAGTTTGTTTATTTACACAAAACTAGAAGTTAATTAATGTTACTACCTGCTAAAGCAGATAGCAACGAGGCCCTTGTCTGTAATATTTATACTGTCCCAAATATTAACGTCACCTTAAAATGGCAAAACTTTAAATTACTATTTTCTCTACAAAATAAATGTAATCTATCATATATAGACCTGGAAAAAACCCAAAAGTTCAAATTCTTAATGTGAAAGTAGGGAAAGATTCAAAAGTGAAAAATGTTTTATACTTTATGTAAATGATACTTAAGTATGACAAACAGGTGATAATTCAAGTTCATAACTAGTAAGTCACTGAAAGATAAATGCATTCATTCATGTACCACAAAATTAAAGAAGACATGAGGACATGCCGCAGTCAGCGAAATAGCCAAGAATCAACAATTTACTAGTTATTTTGTCCCAAACTATTACCATGTGTGTTTGGTATGTTAACAATTTAAATATCCACATTAGGCTAAACATCAAGCACCTGTTAGCAGTGGAAACTGAAACATTTTGATGCTAAAAAATACACAAGATATTTAGACGCTATTTCATTGGTTGTCAAAAACAGTGACTACTGCAAATAATTAAATATAAAATATTGTGCCAGGTCCTCTCAGGGAAATGTGAAAATAATACTGACGATCTCATTGTCATTGTTGTGATTTTACTGGAATTAAACAAAAGCCAGAAGTTATAGATTTATGACTGCCAATACTATCTTTGGATAGTTACAATACAGTATGTAAAATTAAAGATGGCTTTGTTTAAAAGACTGCCATAAATCAATAAAACCCAACTGTGTCTGGTGGACATGGTAGAGAGAATGGCAATTTTGAGAGAGGAGTGCTTCTAAAGGCATTTCCTTGGAGGTTCTGAGGTTTTTTTTTTTTTTCTCCACATTACTGAAAGGCCAAGAAATGTGGTGTGATCACTATAATTCCTACAACAAAACTTCCACTTATAATAGTTACATGTTCCCAAACTAATTTTCTTCTGTCTGCCATGCTGGCTTCCATATTCCATGGTCCACTGTCATCTTTTGGTCTTCTTTTTTTGTAGTACAGCAGCCCTCATGCTGCTATCCATTGAGTAGGTAAACCACCAATTCATAGGTGGCCATCATAATGGCTGTGTTTGGAATCTGTCTCACTAGATGAGTTGTCAGACCACGGTAAAGAGACCCATAACCTTCTTCTTGAACGAGCAAAGCTAGTGTCTGAAAAAAAGATCTGTATTTTGTTCCCTCTTCACGTAGTCTTGTTCTTACAACTTCTGTTTAGGAAAGAAAGAAAATCATTTTACTTAAACATTATTGATATCTTTACACTCTTCTAATTATAACTGAGCACATCCCATTCATCAGTCTATAAGTGTAAGCTCAGGATAAAAAAGGAGTAGCTTTTAATGTGTAGCTTATTGAAACCAGTCTCATTATAGTAACATCAAACTTCTAATATGGCCCAAATCATGCACGTTAATTATAAGACTTTATAGTCTTTGAATGTAAAAAGACACAATATAACAAAAGAGAAGTATCAGTTGTATGCTAAACAGATAAAAGGAAGGATAGATATAAGAAGGAGGAAAAGGTGAAGAAGCAGTAAAGAGGTGGCATCCAGGATGAATATAAAAAGGATACAGTGAGAAACAAGCAGAAAAGATTTAACATGAATAGTACAAAGAAACAATAGCATTATTAATCTATTCAAAATAGTCCACACATGAGTGTGAAACATCATGTGGACAAAGAAGTTGACAATGTTCCAAACATTAGCTGCCAGCTATAAATCCCAGTCTGGGAATCAAGTAAGCAAAAATCATAAATTTTTAAGAGCTGAATGAACCTTAAAGATTAGTCAGTCCAATTTTTCCTCATTTTAAAAGATGAGAAACCAGAGCTACTGAGAGATTCTGGCCAGCTGCGGGTAGAAGCTGGGACAAGAATTCAGAGCTTCCTATGTAACTACTTTTTTTACATCCACTATTTCTCAAACTTTTTCAACAAAGTATTCCAGAAGGGCATGGGGAAATAGTCTAAAGCAACCCACAGCAATTGTCACTATTTACTTGAAATCTGTTCTGTCTTAAAGATTCGTGCCATTTATATATTTAACTCCAAAATGTCCTATTTGACCAGGTGTGGTGGCTCATGCCTGTAATCCTATAGCATTCTGGGAGGCCGAGGTGGGAGAATCACTTGAGCCCAGGAGTTTGAGACCAGCCTGGGGAACCAGAGACTATGTCTCTACTAAAAATTAAAAAATTAGCTGGGCATAGTGGCCTGAGCCCATAGTCCCAGCTACTTAGGAGGCTGGGGCAGGAGGATTAATCGAGCCTTGGAGTTCAAGGTTGTAGTGAGCTATGATCATGTGGCTGCACTCAAACCTGGGTGACACAGTGACATTCTGTCTACCAAAAAAATAAAAAAATAAAAAAAAATAACGTATCTTATCAACTGTACCTCTTCCTGTAATGACATCATCTCACTTCAAGGGAAAAGTCTGCTTAAACCCCAAAACTCTATTCCTTACACCTTAGCAGGCCACCATCCTAACCCACCCCATAGGTCAGTATCTAAACAATATTGCTGATACTGTCGTATTTTGAATTCTTTTAGAAAAGTCAGGAAATTCCTTCAGGAAACTGAGATAAGTTCATAGTCCAACCTGGTTAAAGAGTTGGTTTCATAAATTACTATTAGAGCAAATGTGCATTTTCTAGGCCTGTCTCATTTTTCCTGATATGATATACAATGGACACTGTAAATATTAATCAGTGTAAGTGAACAAAAACAAGGGCTTACACTAAAAAACAAATCTTAAACATACAAAAATCAAAAGCTACACTTAAAACAACCAAAAAAGCTACCAAAACACCTCAGCATGTAGCAAATTCTTAAGTGATTTATCTAGCTATCAATGAAAAAGGCTATATTATAAAATTTAAATATTTAATATTTAAATATATTTATATTATAAAATTTAAATACAGAAATATTAATATACTTATTTGCCAACATGAAATAATGTAAAATAGCTTGGTCTTTGGGATTACAGACTTTAATTCAAATTTGGGCTTCAGCATTAAGTAGGTATGTGACCTTGGGCAAGTTATTTCATGTTTACATTTCTTTTCAGTATTCCATTTCAAAGGGAGAACAATTCTAGTTATGTTCTAGCAAAACAGGGAAAATAAGTACTTTAGATAATTTTTACATAGATTAGTAATGTATGTAAACTATCTACTATAGCGCCTACATCTATGCTCTTTTCAAAAATCAGAAACTTGCCCAAAAGTCACCAAGCGGAAGTGAGTAAGGCTGGAATTTGATTGACTTCAGAGCTCATGCTCAATCATCACCATGCTATTTGATAGCATAATACTGACCTATTAATAGAGCCTACGTTACTTAACCAGATTTAATCTCATTATGAACTCTCAAGAATTGTATTTTGTTATACCAGAACGCAGTAAAATTATAAATGCTTTAATAAGTGAGCTGTTGGCTGGGGTGGGAAAATATTTCTGATTTAATAGATATTGCTTCTTACCATGTGGATATGCTATAGTTGTGGCACAAGTTTTTGAGGTGGCAGCAGCTAGCATCATTCCCACAAAATCTGATGCTTCTTTCACAGACTCTTCATCATTTTCCATTGTAGAAGCAGTCTTACATTCCAGTAGTTTTTGCTTTATACTTTCATAAATAACAAAATGGATAACAGTCTCTGATATACCAGCATATGAAGCAGACATGCCCCTATAAAATCCTTTTAGTCCATCTGTCTGATACACTTTACGAACACATTCAAAAGCACCCATTCGCCTTTCCCCACGGTTCCTGAAAAGCAAGAAGAAACATCTTACTGATAGGTTTTTTAAATAAAGTAAGTAAAATATAATAAAATATGTCACTCTAATAATAAAGAATGGCCTTCTTTAACTCATGAAGAATTAGAATTTAAAAAAAAATTCATATTTTAGATTTCCTATTCTTTTGTCTCAAATTTGTCATATGAAATGAGTGATAAGTAAATAGTTTATTTTACTGAATGCAAAATGCACTACATTGAATCTTCAGTCTCGTGTCCTCATTGGGGTTCATGTGGCAGGGATAAGCAATAAAATCCTTTAGGAACTGTACACCCTGACTGCAGCTCAAGACAAAAACAAAACAAAGTAAACAAAAATCCTCACATTGTATTAATTCCAGTTCTAAGTAAACTGAATTTCCTTTGCATTTAGTAACACAAATAGAATGACTGAGACACTAATGATGATAGAATATCATAAAGCAAGCAGTATGTTTTTTTTTTTTTTTGAGACGGAGTCTTGCTCTGTCACCCAGTGCGTTGGCTGGATCTCAGCTCACTGCAAGCTCCGCCTCCCAGGTTTACGCCATTCTCCTGCCTCAGCCTCCCGAGTAGCTGGGACTACAGGCGGCCGCCACCTCGTCCTGCTAGATTTTTGTATTTGTTAGTAGAGACGGGGTTTCACCGTGTTAGCCAGGATGGTCTTGATCTCCTGACCTCGTGATCCGCCCGTCTCGGCCTCCCAAAGTGCTGGGATTACAAGCTTGAGCCACCGCGCCCAGCAACAAGCAGTATGATTAACTAAAATTCTGTGCACCTGAGGGATTCTCTTTCAACCCCACTCATATTCTACCTAAGAGGTGATGGGGTGAATGTCAGTCAAATTCCCTATGATCATTTAAAGGTAATGGCCATATCAGTCTCCCTGGTGACTAGTAAATGAGAACCTGTTGTGTTATAAAGTATTTATTCAGTACTCTGCCTAAGACAATGTCCTTAGTTCTACCTAAGGCGGCAGCACCTACTCTTACAGAACACAACATCTCCTTCTACACATGCATGTAATTTTGAGTTTTAACAATATTTGTTACCTTATACTGATTCCCCCAACAGGATCTTATCTATAAAGAGATAGGTTTATATGCTACCTATAAAAAAAGGGAAAATTTACCTATTTATAAATTGTACCTAACTTGTTTCTGACATAAAATAAAACCACCACAACACCCACTTAATTACCTACAGATTCCACCAGTTTTATGAATGGATTGTCTTTAGATATTGAATACCTATTAGATAAATGATCCACAAACCAACTGTAACTAGTTTCTGCCATTAAAGATCCTTCCTCACAAGTTAAAACAGATACAAATCCTGAAAGGTGACATATCAGCCCTATTTTTGTTTTCTTTAATTGATTTTTCTTTTTTAACAAATGGAGTCTCCATAGTGCAATCATGGTTCACCGCAGTCTCAAACTCCTGGGCTCAAGCAACCCTCCCATCTCAGCCTCCCAGGTAGCTAGGACTACAGGCATGCATTTTTTTTGTAGAGATTAAGTCTTGCAGTGTTGCCCAGACTGTTCTTAAACTCCTGGCCTCAAGCAATCCTCCTGCCTTGGCCTCCCAAAGTGCTGGGATTACCAGTATAAGCCACTGCACCCAGCCCTCAGCCTTATAAACTAGAATCCTCAAGTCAACCTTTCATTATCACCCCACCCCTGCAAGCCTAAGAATTGTGCTAGCTTGTGTTACAAGTGGAAAAAAATAATATTAAAGAGTTTTAAGTCATGCTTTTCCTGGATTCCTTATAGAGCAATGCTAAACACAGTGAAACCTAACCCTGGTAGTTTACAATAGAATAATGTGGACTAGCATCTTGTACTTTCTAACCTTTGGAATAAGTCTTAGCTACCATTACTTTTCAGATATGTGGCTTTAAGAAATAAACTTGGAGTTTTACTACAACACTCAAGATTTTATTAAAAGATCTATTTCAGATTAAACAGTTAGATATTTCTTTTCAAGTTTCCAAACAGTATATAGTTCAACATGACAGAAGATGGAAAACTGACATTTAAGCAGGCATAATTGTTAATGATGTTAGATCAGTTTGACTTAAAGCCTATAGGACATAACACTATTTCCCAAACACCAAAATATAAAAACAGTAAGAACATGTTATACACAGAATCTACTCCAGACTGAAAGTCTAAAATAGTTTAAAACCATTAATATTATTATTGTAGCATATAAGATAGGACCATCTTGCTACTTAAGGGTCTATTCTAAAGCCAATAGGAGAGTTGAGATGGCAAGACCCTATGCAGCACTGCTTTTGGCCTACTCTCAGTTCCCAGAACACCAAAGGCCCTACACTTTAGAACCTATGAGGTTTGCACCGATTGGTTCCTCTGCTTTAAATGGTTTCAAAAAACCTTTCCTTGATTATTCCATTTAAAATTAGTCCCCACTGTTTCCTGGTGCATCTCTAAGACATAGCAGTATCTGCTAATATAGATTTGTTGAATGAATGAATCTGGCTATTATAAAGTGGTCAGTGGTAACAGATGATACATGAGAACTATTTTGTCAGCCTAGGGTTCTAGCCTAGGCCAATTATAAGTACCCATGTAGGGAAAGTATTACCTTTTGGGTTAGGTTAATCTACCTCTTTCTTTCCTTTCTGTTTCTCTATGGAATCTTTCTAGCCACTCTTTTTAAAATAAAACAAAACAACACATATTAATAATACACTTTTTTCACCTGGAAAAGCTCATATTGTCAACTCTTACATTATCTTTTTTCTGATGGCAGACCCAAGTTTCAAAACTACAACAACAAATTCAGCAGCAAAAGAAAGAAAAAATTTGTAGAAAAAAAGTAGTTAAATCCACTTTAACCAATTTTATTTTAAGGAATTAACATACCTTGCATCAAGCTGTAACCGAGTCTTTATAAGCCAAATGGGGTTGGTTGCTGTGATTGCAGTAAAACCTAAACAAACATGTTTAAAATGAACTCTGGTAAAAATGAAGAATACACTGTTAACTTTAAGGTTTTAAAAATTAGATAAATCTATATTAAAGAAAATGTATATAAACTACTAATTTATGTATATGTTACACTTTTCATTTTACAAATCCATACAACGACAAACATTTGTCTTCACTTCCAATCTATATGAATTCTCAAATTCTGTCCTAAACTAACAGATTCTTTTAAAAGCAAAATGAATATAAATTGCTTTCCCAACCTAATGAGAATATCCTTTAGGGTGCTCTCTACTATCTAAGCTGAATTCAGAAATCCATCTCTACAAACACATAGACATTTTGTGTATTCTACGGCTAAAAAGCATGCACCTGGGATCCTAAAAACCAGCTAAAAAAAGTTACCTGGGGTTTGATTAGCATTCCAAATCACTACATTCAAAATGAATTCTACATAAATGTCAAATTTTACCAATATTTTGATCTTCAGTTGATTATATAGTGGGAAAGACTGTTGTTTGGCCCCATGAATACTTTCTACATATATACTTACTAATACTGTTAAAATAACCGTATCACAGTAAAGTTTTTGTTAGGGTTACTAGGACAGGCCTATATTCATCTACTTAAACACATACAAAAACTCAAAAGTTCAAAAAGTTACAAATTGGAAGTTCCTTCTTACTTTTATAGACATGGAAGAAACTCAGGGTAGAAGACAGCTCTAGTTTACTTTAAAACTAAAGTATTATGTACTAAGTATTGGTGCAGAATGGTGGTCACCTAAGATGGCTCATTCCAGGTAGTAAATTAAGATCTACCTGGAACAGTATGTTTCTAGGATAGTGCATGTTTTACTTGCCACCTTCCTAGCTATGGAAAAATAGCACACAAAATACAATCTTGATGACAGAAACTTATAAAGATTGCTTCATCTACACAAAACAGGGTTTTAATTTACACAGACTTCATAGACCTACTTACGCTAAGTTACATTTATTCAATAAAAACTTATATGCAGAAATGTTTAAGGATCTTAACTGTTTTAATATTTCTATCAAATACTAGCAGGTCAGGCACATTATTTTTATAAAGGTGGCTAATGATCAGTACATTTAAGATGAGTAAAGTACTTACAGGAACAGAAATGCTACAATATACTTAATAATTTGTTTTTAAATTAATATAGTACAGATCCAATCATAAACCTTTCTTGGCTTTCAAAGGTATATCTACATACGCAAAATAATTATACTAAATTGTTTACAAAGCTGAATTTGGTCTCACGGGGTTCTTTTCTATGTCAGTAACTGGCTAACTCAAATTTTACTTCCTTAAGCCACTGTTTTAACATTGTAGAAATAGCCAGATATTATACAGATGGATGCTCCAATTAAATCTATTTAGCAAGCAAGATAAATGGAATAAATATTCAGTTTAAATAATTCCTTTACCACTTTTGTAAAGATTATATAGTCTACATTTCTCTTAAGTGCTTTTAATACTACATATGTAAGTATAAAACTAGAATGGGACCAGCAATTTTAGACGCATCAGCAGGTACTAAGTTGATAAAATTTAAAGTGTTGAGCAGGTTGCCAGGAACATCTTTTTATATAAAAGGTTGTTTTCATGCATATATTCTTGGTAAAATAAAAGAAAAACATGAAACTATCAGACCAGTTTAAATATTTTTCTTGCATGGTTCTAGCTTAACTGAGAACAGAGTTATAGAGTATTATTTTTCTCTTCTTTTGAACCTCATTCTTCTACATGAAAAGGCTAGGATATTCAAATTATATTTTAAAGCAATCAGACATCAATATTCTGGTCAAATTCCAATTTAATGATTCTTGTTTTGTAAACTTAAATATCTGTATTAGCTAAATGTCTGCACAGCAAAATTAAGAGTTTGTAAGTAAAAAGCTGCTAGCCAGCATAAACCAACAAAATATTCTGCATTACTCACAATGATTTTTATTAATCATTTTATAGAAATCTTAAGAAAAACTATTTGCTTTTTATTGAATTTTAAAAGCTTAAAACTGGGAATCTTTACATCAAACTTTTTAAAAACAGCCGATCTAGGTAAAAATTCTCGTTCATCTTATTATACTTATTTGAAAAGAAGATGAGCACCTAAGTTTTTTTTTTTTAAAATAAAAGTTCTATTTCTAAAAACAAACTTTAAATACCCAAGCTTCTGTCCATAATACTCTTCCAAGTCACAAAAGAATTTGAGGCTAGAAAAAAACCCATATATAAAAAACTTTACAATAGTACAATAATTTTGATAAATGTTGTTAGGAACAAAACTTTTTAAAGACCCATAAATTATAATTTTAAATTATTCTCTGTACATATTACTATAATGTCACAAAGCAAACAACAGGTATTTCTCACTTAACTAAAATTCATTTCCAAGCACAAATTAACCTATGTAACAGGCCACATTAAAATTTAGGTAAGTGAGAGAATGTTATCTTATCCCTATGTAATTGCTATTATCAGTACGCTATGTTTACTATGGTTGCTCTGGCTCAACTCTCCCAGTGAGAGTTAGCTCTTAATAAAGACACTAACCTAAATGCCAGCAAACCATTGGGTTAGATGAATCTAGGCACAATCCACAGAGTTTCAGCTATTAGCCTTTTACCGCTTAAAACTCAGGTCCTTGAGTTTTATGCTATTACTTTCTCCTAACCAAAGACACTTTAACAAACTAAATAGACATTACTAGGATAATTACATCTAATAAATATAATCTAATAATCTAAGAAATGAAGCCAATGGAAAAAAACAAAAATTTATCGTAACTTAGCATTAAATATGGTAAGGCAATTTGAGGTTAGCCCAAGTTAAACATATCTTCCCATTACTTATAAGACAAACACACACAAAGATACTGGGAATAGTGCCCCTGAAATTTAGAAATTGCCTATTACTTTTTATTTTGCATTTTAATTTTGTGACATTTTGATAATATGCTAATTTATATTAAGACTCTGAGCACCTAGTGAAACATGAAAATGAACTTAAGATGACATGAGGGATCCATTTGTAAGGTAAGAAGAACTAATATTGCTCCACAGTCAGTAAAAGCAAAGTGCCAATATATTGGCCATACAGTTAGTAGGGTGGTTAGCATGTTAGAAAGCTTAAAAAAATTTTTTAAATGCTACTTTAAAAGTTTTGCTTTATCTAAGTAAGATTCCATTTGACAGTGTCGACCAATTAAAAACCAGATTAACAGAAAAATTCTGCTTAAACTTGCTGAAAATGTTGATTTCATTAAGTGAGTGATACCTGTAGTGTTGCGTTTTCGGTACTTTTTATTTCAACTAACTTCTGTAAGAACAAAGCCCACCTAACCTCCTAAATGTATTAACACCACTTTTAAAAGTAATTAAAACTAAAACAGCTAAGATCCCATATATTCTTTATCCTGCATTTATTTGCAAAGTAATGCTATTAATTTTTTTTTTTTTTTTTTGCAAAAGGGTTCTAAGAAAGCCAAGTATCAACAGACAAAAAAGAATGGAAAGCATTGTATTAGGCTTTTAAATATGTTATACTAAGCAAAGAGAACTGTGATTTTATCTAAAACTTTTAAGACAGTATAATACCATTTACAGCTATATATTGTTATCACATTCTTTGGAGGTCAAGGCTGTTACCGCCAAGCTGAAGACCCCAGGCTTTTATTACATGACGACTGAAAAATACCTCATTCTTCCTTCTAGAAGGAATATTATAAAGGAATCAGACTTAGCCTTTATAAAATACGCAATGCACACACAAATTCAGGAAATAAAAGTTAATTTCCCGCCTCCTAATTCCACAGCTATTATAAAATCCCAGGGTGCGTTTCTTATACTACAGGCTGCAAGAGATGCTCAGATCAGTACTCACGAGGTTTAAGTTAGTCCATATTTCTACAGGAAGTGACCTGCGGATGGGGAGCATGAGATGACACGATCTCACTCTTTTCTCGGGAGAAATGTACAGTAAATGCCTAAAATAGACACAGGCTTTTCTGTATCATAACAACAAGCAGTGACCTCATCAGAAACATGTGTACAAATTGAATCCCATTGGAAGGATTTGAGAAATATTTACTGTGAGATCTAACTTTTTTGAAAATTTTAAGTTAAAAAAAAGAAAGGAATATCAAAATGGGCCATTTAAAAAAATGTACCGAGTACTGAAAATCCTGCCATCTGCAGCAGTTTCAGAATCTAAATACTTACCTAAAAGAAGATCAATTCTGCCTTAAAGAAAAAATGCTAACCTTGTCAAAAGGGAATATTTAGAGGGGATCATCATCTCCCATTTTCCTACCACTATTATCTATTATGATTAAGGAGGTGAAAACACAATTTCTATTCTTTAACAATCAGCCTACTTAGTAAATCTTAAAAAAAAAAAAAAAAAAAAACCCAACAGAATATTCAAGTAACTTCATTTTGGAGCTATTTATATAAATTTTTAATAAAATAAAGTATACATTGCTACAATAGTACCTTTCACCTTTTGCACTATGGCCAGTAATATTGCACATCCATACTTATGAAATATTTTGCATTATTTTGTATTTAATTTCTTGTGTTCTACAAAACAAAAAACAGGAAGAATGTTTACACACAAACACACAAAACATCTGTCCAACCATCCATCTGGCTGAATTAACTGCCATGGACAAATAAAATACTGTTCAAAAATATTTCATAAATGCAAGACAATACCTGTATTTAATGAGTAAAAGCCTTTATTATAATGAAGTTTAAGTCTAACAGAAAAACATAAATTGAAAAATAACAGTGTATGCTGTAAGCAAATAAAACCCACTACGTATGTAGGAAACTTTCAATGATTACATTACTAGTATTTTAAAAACTGAGAAGTAACTGTATGAATATATAATCCAATCAAAATCAGAATTCATTTCCTTTACATTTATAATGTTCTATATAAAAGTATATACATGCCAGATAAAATCTTTTAAAAATTGGGAATTACTATAAAGAAAGAAGTAATTTAATAAATTTTTTTGCATACATCTGTGCCTAGGTGTATATAGAGGAATATACAAGTTAATTTAAACAAAATATACAGGCAACAAAACAGATACCCTCAATAGCTGAGATATACTGAGTCTGTCAAAGGTCATGTGTAGGAGAAAAAAACGGCAGGCAAAATATTAAGAGTCAACATTATTTGATTAAATATCCTCACAACTGAAAAAAATTTTTAATGCATGAAAATGTACAGCTCAATTTTAGAGGTTTACAAATTCTTACAGTATGCACTACAACAAATAAAAAGACCCACTTTAAACTGTCCTTTTAATAAAATAAATTTGTAGTATCTAAACATGAGTTCATATGGATAAAATGCAAAATGAAAATGAATTGAGGTCACTTGGAATAAAAATAATGTACAGTGCCTTATAAATCCTTAATGTGTGTGCTATCTGGTGTGTTAAAATCTTGCAGGCAGTATCATTAATGGTCCATTTTAGTGTGTTTTTGTGTACTAAAGTGACAAGGTTAGCATTTTTTCCCTTGAATAGACAGCTGAAAATGATTTTTCACAGAACTATCTTTACTTCATGCCCCCAAATCATTCATGTTTAGACCTATAAAAATAATCCTAAAAAAAAACCCCAGAGTAATCTGGTCTAGATTATTTCAAGAACAAAGGGGGCAAAAGGCTACTTCAATGAGTCTGCATTGGACCATTCAGTTTTACCAACCATATAGTTATGAATAAAACTGCAAAGCTAAATGTTAATGCTCATTAATAGTGCACAGAAGCTCTGAAAGCACAGTTCTCAGAACAATGTAACTGCAAACAAATTCAAGCAGTATTTTCTACACAATAAGTGTACAGTGCAATAACCTCTGAACAAGTATGAGACTATAAGTTTACCAAAACTCGAGGAATTCAAGTTGGGAAATGGTATCAATGTATAGATAAAAACGAACTACATGTTAACATTTGTAAACATTTGAGAAAAAAGTGCAAAGTGACAATTCTACTGAAATTCTTTGCAATGTGATACAAATACAGTAATAAATTCTGATGAGATAATCTAATGAAATAAGATGTTCCAGTGGAAATATATTCTGAACCTCTACATTTGCTATACTGATATAACAAATATCAATTTAAGGCCAGGAGCGGTGGCTCACGTCTGTAATCCCAGCACTTTGGGAGTCCGAGATGGGCAGATCACGAGGTCAGGAGATCGAGATCATCCTGGCCTAACACAGTGAAACTCCATCTCTACTAAAAAAAATTCAAAAAATTAGCCGGGCGTGGTGGCGAGTGCCTGTAGTCCCAGCTCCTCGGGAGGCTGAGGTAGGAGAATGGCAGGAATCCGGAAGGCGGAGCTTGCAGTGAGCAGAGATCACGCCACTGCACTCCAGCCTGGGAGACAGAGAGACTCCATTTCAAAAAAAAAAAAAAAAAAAAAAAAAACCTAAAATGACCGCTCATCTAACTTTCTAGATTCCAATTCTTTCAAATAAGATTAATATTTCTTTATAATTATCTGAGGTTATAAGCCAAAAACATAATAACTGGTAATTCAGAAATGTATTTTTAAAGAACCTGATAGAGTGGTTATAAGGTTTGTCACTGGCCACCAACCTTTACCTTACATCCAAATTCATAGGGGAAAAATTCTATCTATTAATATTCAACATCTGTAAAAATTACATTAAAAATAATTCTAGTTGTAACAACATAATCTCTATGACACTAAAGGAAAGAACTGATTCTCAAAATCCAAATCTATGTAGACCGCTTGACTCATTCCATGGGTAAGCTAACAGAGGTTCACATAAATTACATAATTTGCCCAAGGTCTCCTTATTGGTAAATGATTGTATTTCACTCTTTTGACCTTTAGATTGTCCCTTCCAGTTTTAAAGCTTCAGTGAGTCAATCGACAATTACTAAATACAAAGAGTCTTAGAAACAATTTGTGATATGATAAGGGCTATTGACCTTTCAGAAATTTGTATTTCAAACTTACTTACTTCATGAAGTATATAGGTCAAATTGATTCAATTTATTTCTAAACCAAAAGTGTTTAACAGTTTAGAGCACTCATTATTAAGCACATAATTGACACTCAATTTATTGATCAATAGCTGATGAAAGCAGCTACAGTTTATAAAGTTACAGCATAATTTGAAAATCTGAGATATGAGTAAATGTGCAATAAATCTCAGATATTAGGGAGAATTTTCTATGGAAAACTGAAGTTCATGGCTTTGTCCAACATGCATAGCAGCAAATGATTCCAGAACCAGATTGGTCAAACCAACTGTTTATCTTTATGGCAGTATAAAGACCTAAAACTTGTTGTTTTAATTCAGAATCATATATACTTATCAGTGATGACAGAAAGAAAGAGTTCCTGGAAACATTTCTATAATAAGCATGTACACATAGCCAGTGTCTAAATTTCAGGAGCTATCTAGTGTGGATTATGTAGAATGAACAATTTTTAAAAATACACATGGTAACTGAATTATCATCACTCACAAAAATTTCAGCATTTGAGCACAGGACAAAATGAATACTTTACCAAGAATTGCCGACACATTTCAGACAGAAGCCAAAACATGCAGCAAAAAGGGAAAAGACACTAACAGAAATTGAGGAGAGAAGAGTAAATCACAGCTCTGTAACTTATTTACAGTGTAATTATGGTTGGATTCTTAAAACTGTTAACAATGATCACTAAACATTCAGTGGACTACACAAGGCAATATAAATATATTACTTGCACCCTAGCATGGAAACTCCTAACTACAAAAACGTCAACTGATGACAGATTTTACATATACCTAATTTGGTTTATATGGATAAATGTAAAAATCATCTAATCAATGAAAAGTACATAAATCATCAACTTCTCACTACAAACTTATAATTCAATATTAAGCCTCTAGGTTTCAAGAAGTTTTTTGTTTTTTAATATTATACATTCATACCTGCCATTGCCGCTGAAATCATGTGTACTTGGGTAGAATCAGGATCAAATACATCATTCAACTTTTCCTTGCAGTTTGAATAAGCAGCAAAGTATATTGCTCTAAAATAGAGATTTAGATTTATCAATCAGCATGTTCTTAATGCATAAGACTTACATATAAATTGATCTTCACAATTTTAGAATGGAGAAATTTAAAAACCATAAACAAAGTCCTAGCCACATTCTCATGTAACATTAGATATATACACTTTTCATAAATACTCTGAAGTACTTTTTGTATTGACTCATTAAAGTAAGACAGTATCAAATGTAAAGTTCCTACCATTCATTCTCAAACAGACCCCCATCCAATATTCTGACAGCCACTTAACTCACTAAAACTTGGTATCCAAAAAGATAAAAAGAAAAAATGAAATTTTAAAAAAGGAAAATAAAAACAAAATAACAACTAATTTAAACAAAAAGTATTTAAGATTTTGATGTTTAGAAACTAAATGAATGAATAAGGCTGTAAGGCTGGTGCAGTGCTAAGGCTAAAGTAAATACAGTTATTGGAGATAAGCAGATATGGCATGAGCACTTAACATATAATTTTTTTCATGGGGAGAAGAGGGTGAAGCAGATCCAAATGATTAAAATATATGCTAAACAATTTTAAGATACTGTGGTATATTCTAATTCATAGTACACACACTGTAATTCACATTATCCTTAAACAGACAAAACAATTCCAACAAAAGAAATCAGACCCATCAGGTCAGAATGTTTTCCAATGTTTGTAAACACTGAGTGAAATTTAATTATTTCCCTCATTGTTAACTTACTATGATTTTATGCATCCCCACTACCTCCTCTATGTTAACTTCCCATGCTTTGAATTATTTGCTTGCTGTATGAAATATCCTGTTATTTCCCCATCTTATTGGATGATTAGTCATCCAATAAGAATCAGAGTAGACAAATACAAATGAGAATTTCACTGTTGTACCTTTATTAATATGCTTAAGATAAAAGGAAAATTAATATAACTTAAAATGAAATATTGTACTTTATGAGAAAGAAAAACATAAGATACACTTGATGCCAAGTTGGGAAGAGGCATAAACAATGCATTTCTAGAAATCAGTAAGAAAAAAAGAAATCCTAATGAGAAAATGGCCATGAAATATATATAGGCAATTCACAGGATAGACAAATGACAAATTACAAGAAAGTATGACTATACCAAAAATTAAATAAATATGTATTAAAACAGTGAAAAATCCCTTTCAGTCCATTTGGTAAGTATTAAAAAAAGATGGACAGTAGCCAGCATTGGTAAGGCTATGGATAAGGGATAAAAATCCAGCATGCCTTTTTATACTAAGGTAATTTAGTAATATTCACTAGTCTTAAATATGCATATGCCCTTTTATTCAGAAATTCTAACTTTAGGTAATCATCCTAAAAAAAAAACTTCCTAGTGTTCAAAGATAAAGGTTGAGGTATGTTTACTGAACCATTGTTTATACAGTGAAAATCTAAAAATAATCTAAATGTATAATAAGCAAATGTTTATTAATGATGGAATACTATACAATTAAAAAAATAACCCACATACTATCCATGGAAAACCTTCAAGTTAAATTAGGTTAAACATTTAGTATGATTCGGTTTATGTAAAGCATAATAAATATTAAGTATACATGTTTTTATGTATATGATAACCCAGAAAAATTACTGGAAGAATATACAGGAACTGTCTATTAATGGTGGTTATCTACGAGAAGTGTGAGTGTTTGGGAAGGTACACAGGATGAGAGATGATGTGTTTAGGGTAGAAACTTTACGCTATACTTTTTTTGTTGTTTTTGTTTTACGAGATAGAGTCTTGCTATGTTGCCCAGGTTGGTTTTGAATTCCTGGTCTCATGTGATCCTCCCACCTCACCCTCCCACGAAGATTGATTATAGGCATGAGCCATTGCATTTGGTGTTTTTTCTTTTAACTTTTTTTATAATTAGGATGCAATTTTGGATATTTTTTTAAAGAGAGAAAAGAACTCATAAAAAGTTGAAACCTAATAAATAACAAGACATGGATCTGGTACATGGTTTGGATACAGACAGCATTTTCACTCTAAATATGAACTTTGTACAGTGTTCTGTCGTGGAAGAGGTTAACAATCTAAGATGCAATGGTGTCAGAGAAAAATGACGAAGTGATGTTTTCATGTCCTTCTAGCTTCCTTAATAGGTAACAGAACCATTCTATCTGTTTGGTTTGTCCCATAAGCCAAAAAATGACTTAGTTTTAAGAGTTCTAGATCTTCCCCTTTCTTACTGCTAGTTCCTTTGGCTGCTCCTTTAGTTATTAGTTCCTTTGCTTGTTCTTTGTCTTTTCACTTTGCATAAAAACTGCTTCACAATGATCTTACTATGTGCTCCTTTGCACCTACACATGGTGCCATGCCCATCCTTTTGGATGGTTACTGATACCAGTTACACCATAGTTCTTTATCCTTATCACCCTGACATCTCTTCAGCATCTTCCTTGAATAGCTCCCTTTTTATTATGGTAAAAGCCATGTACATCACTTATTGCCCTTCAACGATACACAAATTCTCAGGTTTTTAGACTTTTTGTCCCTTTCTTCAACCCTGTTCTAAGCCCTGACATCCTTCTTAGTCCTTTGGTTCTACTTTTCTATCTTGTTTCTTGAAGTTTGATTTCTATGTGGAAAGTGAGAAAGGAACACTAACTTCAGGTGGAGTGCAGAGCAGGATAGCTATGAAAAGCAGAAAAATACAAGATACCCTAAATGCCTTTTGGTCCAAGGAAAATATTTGTTTAAAAGAATGCTTACCTTTCTTAGAGTCAAAATTTTTCAAGACGCAAGAGCTGGTTTAGTTAAACTCACAAATCTACCAAGCACTTATCTCAAAATATCAGGAGTATTTTACAGCCTTAGCCCTGTGTAGATTTTCAATTCTGCAGCCCCAAATTCTTCTAACTCCTACGGTCAGATGAGAGCATAAGCAACTCCCCAGAAGACTCAATATACTGCCACTAGCTATGAGGGTATTTCCAGATTTATCTTGCAAATATTACTAATTTTACATCTCCTAGTCAATGCAATATAAAGATATATATTCATAATTTTCAACTTTGATTACAACATCTCCCCCAAAAAATCTCAGGTCCGTTTATAGAATTTTAACATTTAAAACTCTTACCTATAAATACAGTGTTCCTTAAAATTCTAGCTATAATAAGCGATACTTTATTATTTTCTCCAGTATAAGACTATCAAAAATTTAATGCAAATACTATACCTTCTCCCTTATATTATGAAACATAGCTTTTGTATTCATATTACTACTGTTAATTTCTAATAGCACTGAAATACTGTTAGTCTTCAAAATATCCAGTACCATTTCCTACCACCAAACATTAATATATAAATTTGTTCTGGCTAGCACCTGAAATTCTTAAAAAGAAAATTAAGTATTTTAACTTCCCATAAACACTGAAAATCACATTTATAAATTTAACTGTATCTATAAATGATTAAATCCAGGTGTGCTGAAACAAAAGAGATTGCCATAATTTGCTTAACTTTAAACAATTTTTTTTTTTTACCTGGAAGGGGCTACCCCCACTAAATTGGGGCCTAATCCTCTAAACAAGGAACGTGGCCCTTCTTTTTCCAAGATCAACCTGAAAGAGAAAAAACATTCTATTAGAAATATCCTTCAAAGTCTGGTACTTTATTTACTTTGTATAAATAAAGTTAGAGTCTAAATCCAGTATATTTGTATTATGTTATGCTTCTCTGGTTTTCCTTACTTATTAAAAATTTGTGGCCAGGCACGGTGGCTTATGCCTGTAATTTCAGCACTTTGGACACTGAGGCAGGCAGATTCCTTGAGGCCAGGAGTTCAAGACCAGCCTGGCCAACATAGTGAAACCTCGTTGCTAATAAAAAACACAGAAATTAGCTGGGCATGGTGGTGCATGCCTGTAATCACAGCTACTCAGGAGGCTGAGGTAGGAGAATCGCTTGAACTTGGAAGGCCGGAGATTGCAGTGAGCCAAGATTGTGCCACTGTCCTCCAGCCTACAGATAGAGTGAAACTCCGTCTCAAAAAAAAAAAAAAAAAAATTAAAAGAAAAAGAGGAAACACAACAAAACACAAAACACTGTTTTTTTCATGACATACCATAAATTGTTGAAGACTGATAACAGATTTACTAGTAGTGATTAAAAAATCTGTTCAGATTCTTTCCTGAAAGATTGACACAAAGATAAAGAGTTCTACATTATTTTCATATGATCATGCTACTCTTATCTTTGATTTCCTTAACTTTACTATCTTTACCAGCAAATTGAAAGCTTAATAACTACCTGCCAACTAGAAATGTAGTTCCTTCCTAATTTTCAGGTCTTTTACTCAATATTGGACAATACTTCTTAGTATTGCAGTATTATCTCATCCCCATTCCACTGAAATGCTGTAGCAGAACCTATCACCCTAATGTCCTTTAAGGTACCAGAATGGTTGGCCTGTTATTTCTCCTGCCACTCAGTTAACAGTTGCTATACTGAGTATTTAACTGTATAATTAGCTGTTTATAAGTAGAAAAAGTAAGTAGATAGAAAAAAGAAGGCAAGGACCCTGACACTGTGGAATTTGCTGTTCTGTTTTGGTAAAAAGAATTACAACAAAACAAATAAATTAACAGACCATATTAACAAGCAAATACTATACAACCTAGATACATATATGCCCAGAAGAGAAAGGAACAGAGCCAGGTGTAAGTCACAGAAAGCTTTTTTGGAGTAAGTTATGAAATGAAGTTTTGGCAGGGAGAAGGAACAGAAACTGAAGAGTAAGTATTTTAATTCAGAGTTAACAGACTAGGCCAAGTAGTTCTCAAGCATCTATCTGCTTAAGAGGGATCTCTTTAAAGGTAGTTGGGTCTAATGGTTAATTTAAGGCCTGAATTGAGCCGCCAGACTTCTCAAGATATGAAGCTCAATGTTGGTAATGAATAACTCTAAGACCCTGAAATAACTTTTCTCTCATACTTAGTTTCATCAGCAGTAAAACAAAACAAAACAAAACAAAAACAGTACCCTTCTACTGGTTACTGTGAGGATTAAGTAAATTAATATATGAAGAGCTTAAAAGAGGGCCTGAAAAACTGAGAAACTAAAACACAGCCTAGAAGGATTACTAAAGTTCCTGTGAAGAGAAGGCAAAATCACTGAAAAAGAGAATTAAAAAGTATTATCACAGAGGTCAAAAGAATTTTAAGGGGAGGCAATCTGTGGTAATAAATATCAAAATCATGGTATTAAAATATTTTCCTATTATAAATCAGATAGAAATATTTATCTGTAACTATAGCATTTTTTTTTCTTTTTTGAGACAGAGTCTCACTGTATCACCCAGGCTGGAATACAGTAGCACGATCTTGGCTCACTGCAACCCTGCCTCCCAGGTTCAAGTGATTCTCCTGCCTCAGCCTCCTGAGTAGCTGGGATTACAGGTGCACACCACCACACCTGGCTAATTTTGTATTTTTAGTACAGACAGGGTTTCACCATGTTGGCCAGGCTGGGGTCGAACTCCTGACCTCAGATGATCCACCCACCCACCTTGGCCTCCCAAAGTGCTGGGATTATGGGCGTGAGCCACCACGCCCGGCCCAATTACGGCATTTTAATCCAAAACTGTTATCAATGTTATTCTACCTATTCATGTACTTATGTAAACAAGTTTGAAAAAAGAAAAGGCCGATGAAACCCTTTAGTAACAAAGGTAAATACACAGAATGAGTTTATTTGCTATTACAAAATAAACACTACTGAACTAAGTTCAAACAGTGAGCTGATAAGGCAGACACAAAGGCATTCAGTTATTTATGAGTATAAACATGCAAAACCTGATTTTAATAGTTTTGAAATTTCAAATCCAATGGCAACATAATGAAGTATGGCAAAATGTAAAAACAAATCTCTTCCAAACCATCAGGAAATGTTAAACAAATCCTGAATAGCATTAGAACTCTGCTGTCTCAGTTGTACTTAGGTTACATAAAAATCACAGATTGTCGTTAATTGGATGTACTTACTTGTAAGAGTACTTGGAACATTAAAAACATACACGAAAGGAGTTAGTATTAAACATTATCACATTTCAAAAGTAAATGAATAATCCAAAATAAAATTCTTACAATAGCTTTAGAAAAAAATCCACTGGATAAATGTAGAAATATTCTAAATACACATGATTTGGAAATAAAATTACACTTTATCTTATCTAACTATTCTTCTCCATTAGGGATTATCATTCCTTATGAGTACAATTCAGAGTAACTTCTGTAAATAGGTTTATGAAGAATCATTTTAAATGTTACAGAATATAAGTAAACAAACATCTGGAAATCACTAAGGCAAACTAAAAGAGTGCTGAATACTATGCTCTCACTTTAGGCAATGAAGAGGTCCAGGAGACACTATTCGGTTGACACTGGCTCCAGCCATGGTGTTCAGGTGAACTTCAGAAATATAAAGTGTCACAGAAGATGACTGCAGTCGTGTTTTTACAACTTCCAGTGGACATGTCAGAATAGCTCCCACTGTACCACCACATCTAAAAAAAAAAAAAGAACAAAGCTCATCTATTTGATTCATAAGTTAGTATATATGCCCAGAGCTGTAATCCTCATGGGTACCTGGAGCTTTGCCAACATACTAAAATTTATAATTTTTTATGTTAGATGACTAAACAAATTTTTAAGAGATTCCATTATTTGATTACATACAAACATCTTCAGTAACTAAAATGAACACAGCTTAATAACTATCTGGCAAGAATAACTGCTGATGACTTCAACTGATAGGTGCTGTTACTAAAATTGTACTGGTAAGTCACATCATGGCTTTAAATACTGTCCTAAGGTTTGATTTAGTACTTATGTATAAATAACTTGTGGCTCCGTTAAAATCTAGGCCATTCTTTGAGGTATATCCTGTCTTTCAAACTCCTGTCCTTTCAAACTGAAGAAATGGTCTTCTGAGCATTAAGAAAGAACTCATTGATAGTTAAACATATATAGTTCTCTTATGTTAGATACCCAAATATTCACAAGTATTTCATCTACAAAAAAATACAGCATTTGAGGGCATGGCTCACACATGCAATCCCAGAGCTTTGGGAGGAGGCAGGAGGATGGTTTGAGGACAGTTTGACAGCAGCCTGGGCAACACAGCCAGACCCCATTTTACAAAAAATTTGTTTAAAAAATTAGCCAGGTATGGTGGGGTATGCATGTAGCCCTAGCTACTCAGGAGGTGGGAAAACTGCTTGAGCATAGGAGTTCAGGACTACAGTGAATATGATCACGCCACTGCACTCTTAGCCTGGGCAACAGAGTGAGACCCTGTCTCAAAAAAGAAAAAAATTGGCATTTGAGTCTCACAATTAATGTCTGTCAGGCCTACACATGGAAATCTGTGCAATGTAGGTAGGGTTGTTAGAATAATCCAACATAAATAAAAGGACGGATCACCAGAACCATAAGAACAAAAGCTCTTAATGACATTAAACTGTTTAAAAGGTATGTAAGATATAGGCTGAGTAATTATTAGTTTATTATTTTAAAATACAAGAGTAGAAAGTAATTTCCTCCTAAAACTTTAATAGCTACCAAATGAAGCCTTTAGAACTGCTTTCTAACCAAAAGGGAAAATCGCTCAGAAAAGCTCTTAGTGCAGTCAAAGAGAAAAGCTAGTTGAGTCAGGTTAACATGGACCTTCAAAATGGGCATTAAAAGAAAAAGAAAAGCAATCCATTCAATAAAACACTAAACAATTCTACCTCCACAATTAAAAACACACACACACATATATATATAAAGGAAAGCAGGCATGGCAATGTTAGTATCACTCCAAATAGAATTTAAAAGAAATTTTAAAAGATAAAAATATGTCATATTGATTTATTAGTATATGCCACCAAGAAAATAAGATAAAACCAAACTGTATGCAACTAATGAGTGAAAAACTTATGCAACAAAACTATTAAAAGATAAAGTTCATATGTAAAATAAAAAACGTAACCCTTACCTCACACTACATTTTAAAATTAACTCAAAATGGATCATAGACCTAAGTTTAAAATGATGAAACTATAAAACATCTAGGAAAAAAACATCTGGAAAAAAATCTTTTAACTTTGTGTTAGGCACAGACTTCTTACATGGAGATCAACAGAAGCATAAATTAAAGAAAAAAAGCTGAAAAACTGGACCTTATCAAAACTAAAAACTTATACTCTGAAAGAAACTAAAACTGCTAAGATAATGAAAGAAACTGAGAAGAAAATGAAAGCCACAGACTGAGAACAAATATTTGCAAATCGTTACCTGCAAAAGTGCTTATAATCAGGAACAAAACCACGTAACTCAGTAAGAGATTTAACAGATAGTGATATATAGATGCAAATAAATACATAGAATTCTCAAAATCCTTCGTCATCAGGGAAAAGCAAAGTAGATCCATTATAAGATACCACTGCCCATCTATTAATGGCTAGAATTAAAAAGAGTGATCAACAGCCAACTGCTGAACAACTGGAAATCTCTTATACTACTGGTGGGAATTAAAAATGGTACAGACATTTTAGAAAGCAGTTTGTCAGTTTCTTACAGAGATAAACATAAAATTGCCACACAACCCAACCCTATCTCACTTGTGGGTACTGACCCAAGAGAAATGAACAGGTATGTCCACAAAAAGACTTGTTCATGAATGTTTATAATAGCTATACTTATTAATAGCTAAAAACCAGGAACAACCCAAATGTCCATCAACTAGTGGAAGCAAGCTGTGATACACCTATATCATGGAATACTACTCTGCAGTAAAAAGCCACCACCTGGATAAATCTCAAAAGCATTATGCTAACTGAAAAAGCTAGGCACAAAAGGCTTTTTTTTTTGACATTAAAAAATTATCCCTACTTAAGCAAACATTTTTATGATATTCTAGAAAAGGCAAAATGAGACAAACAGAAATGAGATCAGTGGTTTCCAAGGGGTAGAGGAGAGGGAAGAAAGTGACTGCAAGGGGTATGGGGGCATTCTTGGAATAACAAAAAATGTTCAATATCCTTTTTTTTGTTTGTTTTGAGAAAGGGTCTTGCTCTGTCACCAAGGCTGGAGTGCAGTGGCATGATCATAGCTCACTGTAACCTTGAACTCCTGGGTCCAAGCAATCCTCCTGTTTCAGCCTCCCTAGCAGCTGGGACTACAGGCACACGCCACCATGCCCAGCTAAGTTTTTTAATTGTTTGTTGAGACAGGGTCTTGCTATGTTGCACAAGCTAGTCTTGAACTCCTAGCCTCAAGCAATCCTCCCACTTCAGGCTTCCAAAGTATTAGGATTATAAGCATGAACCACTGGGCCCAGTCAATATCCTGACTATAGTAGTGCTTAAAGGACTTTATAAATCTGCCAAAAGTCAATAAACTGTACACATTTAACAAAGCGTAGATTTTACTGTATGTAAACGATACATTGACAAATCTGATTTGAAAAATACGTGAAAACTAGTAGGAATTCTTAATATATGAACTATCTGGGGCTGAATACATTTATATTATGTGAAACATTCAATCATAAATAAGCTTAATATTTCAAAAAAAATTCCACTCATAGCTTTAAATAGGCAGTTAAAAAAATTTAATCTCCCCCAAAAAAATGTCGAAACCACAATTATATGGTCAGATTTCAACAAAATTAGACAAAAAGTAGTAGGATTATAGCAAATCTGAAACAAAATTAAGTAGAAATTAGAAACCTCAATACTCAATAAACAAGGGAAAGATATTTTCAAACAGCCATGAAATAGTCTTAAAACCTCATTATATGTAAGGCCACAAGGAGAATCTTAAATAGAAGCCATTAATTTACTTACGATAAGAGTTGAGAGTTAAGTGGTAAAAGACATGAGTCATCAACAGACAGTATACTTTGAGTATATGCAATGCAGAACTCAGAAGAACCTGTGGGTTGGTCCATACCATATTCCCACTACAACAGTGATCTATTATGGCAAACCATAGTAATTTCAATTTGTCCTTGCCTGATTTCTTTTTAGCAGTTTAGTTTATTTACTTTGTAAATTTGTTGAGCATAAAACCCACAAACAGGCCCAAAATCTATAATAAATATGTACATGTTTTGATTTTATATTCTGTAAAACCTAAGAAAGAGTATTGTTGAATATGAATAACTTCTAAAAAATGTATTCAATGAACATGAATTACTTCTATAATTAAAACGAAAACAAACAAAAAGCAACATGAGCACATAAAGCCATGATTCCTACCCAGTCATTCCTGGTTCCAAGAAAATAAATATTAAACAGCGAAAACAAAGCAACAACGGTAAAAACAACACCTGTGCCTCACACGCTTGTTGTAAAGATGATATAATATAATCCACATAAAGCATTTTGTAAAGTGGCACATAAAAAGTACTCAATAAATAGTAGCTATATAGTTATGTATTTCTATTACTGATAATAGTAACTATGAAATTTTGTAATAGAAGTATTATGAATATTTTGTGGCCAGACCAACAGACAAGGTAAATACTATGATATTTAAAAAACACTTCAGAAGTAAAACACATGAGAATCTGAACTGGCCAGGCATGGTGGCTGACGCCTGTAATTCCAGCCCCTTTTAGAGGCTGAGGTGGTAGGATCACTTGAGTCCAGGAGTTTGAAACAGCCTAAGCAACACAGTGAGACTCTGTCTCTTAAAAAAAAAAAAAAAAAAAAAAGAGACTGGGCATGGTGGCTCATGCCTGTAATCCTAGCACTGTGGGAGGCCGAGATAGGTGGATCACCTGAGGTCAGGAGTTCGAGACCAGCCTGGCCAACATGGTGAAACACCACCTCTACTGAAAATACACACACACACAAAATTACTCGGGCATGGTGGTGCACACCTGTAATCCTAGTTACTCGGTGTGGGGAAAAGGAAGAGAGATCAGCCTGTTACTGTGTCTATATAGAAAGAAGTAGACGTAAGAGACTCCATTTTGTTCTGTATTTGAGATGCTGTAAATCTGTGACCCTACCCCCAACCTTGTCCTTGCAAGAGACATGTGCTGCGGTGACTCAAGGTTGAATGGATTTTGGGCTGTGCAGGATGTGTCTTTGTTAAACAAGTGCCTGAAGGCAGCTTGCTGGTTAAAAGTCATCACCATTCTCTTAATTTCAACTACCCAAGGACACGTACACGGCCAAAGGTCGCAGGGACCTCTGCCTAGGAAAGCTAGGTGTTGTCTAAGGTTTCTCCCCATGTGATAGACTGAAACATGCTGCTAAAAGGTTTATGGAGATGTTTGCATATGCATCTCAAGGCACAACATTTTCCTTTAAACTTATTCATGTCACAGAGATTTTTGTTCATATGTCTTACTGCCGATTTCCTCTTTTTCTTTGATCCTATTGTCCTGCCACTCCCTTGTCTTTAAGATGGTAAAGATAATTATCAATAAATACTAAGGGAACTCAGAGACCGGTGCCGGCGTGGGTCCTCTGTAAGCTGAGAGCCGGTCCCCTGGGTCCCCACTTTC